TAAGTATGTTTTAGGGTAGAGCTATTGAATAAATCAATCAAATTACTTCACCCCACTTAAAGTAAGTGATCAAATACTAAATCTTGGTACTTTAACTTGATAGGAATTCATCTCTATCAAATTAAATCAATCAAAGGCATTCCAAGTAAGTGTGAAAAAGCTTTGGTGAGCCACTGGATGGATGAATTGGAGTGATATTGCAAGGAAAGAATTTTCAGATAAGTGAAGGAAACTTGGTCACACCGAAGAGTCAGGGATTGGGGTAGAGGGATAGGAGGGACCGTCTATAAAATATCAAGCTAGCTGAGAACTGAAATTATTTGAGGCATTTGGATTCCAGCCAGCAGTGATGAACATAGAGCAGTCCAGCTAAACACCTCCTGGGCAAACACTGAGATGAGGAGACCATATTTTTTTCCTGACCTCTTTTATATTCGTTGCCTGGATATGGTTGGGCAAGGGTTTCCAGTTGTATGGAAGAAATAGCTCTTGATTTCTGCTGAGACTGTCAGGCACTTTTTCCAAAATCATTTTTTAAAAAACCCAAATACTTTCTGAATGACAACTACAAGCAGTTTTAAAAGAATCACAGTAGTGCTGTTTTTTTTTTTCCAGTGATGAAATAGGAATCGTGGTGAAAGTAATGCAACAATATTTTTTGGAAGAATATATATCTAGGGGGAACTCTCTCGTGATTTTATGTTCTCCGCTGTGGTTGGTAACCGGAAAGAACTCCTTGTAAACTAAGGCAAAGGCTCTCGTGAGGGAATTTAAGATCTCTCTTTCCCAGCAGGCGAAGACTCCTGGGGAATGAAAAAGCCAATTGTTGAGATTTAAATCTCCCTTTTCCCTAAAAGGAAGAAAACCAGAGGAAGATGATGCCTGTGAAATTAAAGAAAGGAAGAAAAGAAAAGAACATGTGCATGGGTACTATCCAGCCTGTACTGAACAGGACGCCAGATAATGAATGGGAAGAGTTTATATCCCTTTTCAACAAAGGAAAGTAAGGAATTAGGGGGAAGGGGGAAAGGTGGGCTTAAAAAGGATTAAGTCAGTGAGCCCCATCCCCAAGGGGAGGAGAAAGTGAGGAATTCCAGGTGTCAAACCTGTGACCCTTTGATACACAGATCAGAAGGCATTCTTGGTGATAAGCCGTCCTCATAGTTGAAGACTTGAAAAGGAGATGTCTCCAAAAATAGGATATTCTGAAAGTCCCATAACCAAAGTTAGGGGAGTCTCTGGAGGTAAGGTTGTTTCCAAAAACCACACAACAAGGTATGTCCATAGTCTCATAACCTGCAGTCAGGAAAGTCTTTGAAGATAGAAATGTAAACCCGAAAATGGCTCAGGTCTGCTTCAAAACTGGTATGAATTTAATTGACTTCAAAGTTGCTGATTTTCTCTTTCTTTCTTGTTTGTTTTTTGCTGGACAATGGGGTTAAGTGACTTGCCTAGGGTTACACAGCTATTAAGTGTAAAGTGTCTGAGGTCACATTTGAACTCAGGTCTTCCTGATGGGGGGGGCGTGCTCTATCCACTGCACCACCTAGCTGCCCCGAGTTGATGATTTTCTACATGTGGAGCTAGGTTTACTCTTGGTTACCATAAAGGATTGTTGTTATATCAAGCCAATATAGCCAGTCCTCATACAATTCTTCTGGTTACCAGGATAATTTGGGGGGCAGGTGAAGGGTCCAGCAAATCAAGGTATTCATTTTCACACCTTGTAAACATCCAGCTGCAAGTATGTGTCTATTATCCTCTTTGCTGATATTGAGGCAACAAGAGTATTTGAAAGTCAAACACCTCTGGTAAATTGGCATAACCTTGGAAGAGTCAAGCTAGACCTGATGCCGATGTTATGATCTAGCACACCTTTGTGCTGCCTTAGGCCCCTTTGGTAGTTTGATGAAATCTATGGACAAAATACAAAGGATTACAAAGGGAACCAATTATATTGAAAAGAATTATCAAAATATTTGAAATATTTAAAAGGTTCACAGATCCTATGTTAAGAATCCTTCATTTAATGGGGGGAAAACACTAGAAAAAAAAGCAGTAGACCTAAGATTCAGGAACTGTGTAACCAAGTCATATAACCTATCTATGTCTGTTTCTTCAACTTACATTGTAGGAGTTGTAATTCCTTTTTAGCACCAACATTCTCTTAATCTATTCTGTTGTTGTTCAGTTGCATCTGACTCTTTGTGACCCTCTTTGGGGTTTTCTTGGCAAAGATACTTGAAATGGTTGCATTTCTTTCTCCAACTCATTTTACAGACGAGGAACTGAGATAAACAGGGTTCAGTGACTTGCCCAGGGTCATACAGCTAGTAAGGGTCTGTGGTTCAGAACTCAGGTCTTCCTTACTCCAGGCCTGGCACTACCTAGCTACCCCTCTTATTCTATGTAGGAAATGGTAAAATCCCTCCTTCAAAACATGTGTTAAAATTGAAAGCAGTAGTCACTTCTTAGGACTGAGATGCTGGTTCTGTGGTTAGAATATGTGTGCTCTTCAGGGAAAGATAAAAATTGCCTGAAACAAGTAGCGAACACTTACAGGAGTTAAGAGTATGGCTCTTAGTCTCTCTCAACTATATGGGAGTAGGTTAAACATGTTATCTGTCCTCTTTCTGGTATTTACTGCTTTTCTTTCTCACTATGAGGAACAGAGAGATGTGTGCAGCATTTTGTATTGTGAGACTGCTTAAGTAAGAGCTTGGCTTGAACCAGTCAGTGACAAGCATTAATCGCTATTAGAGTTGGGAAGGACCTTAGAAATTATTTTATAGGTGAAGCCACTAAGGTGACTTATCCGGAATCACAGAATCAAGACTAGAACGTAAGTCTCATTCCCATTCCAGATTATTCCTATTACATATTCTCATTTGGGTTCTGTTCATTGGGCATCTGCTACAAGTAAAACACGGTACTGGGTTCTAAGAGGAAGCACAAAAGAATCAGAAAGCATAGGCCCCTCTAGGACTTACACTTAAACTGTGGGAGAGAAAAAATCCGGCAAAGAAAGTGCCAAGAGCCCAATTATTAAACCGACAAGTCAACACAAAGAGGATGTGAGAGGCTCAGGCTGGCTGAATATCCATATGAAAGGCCAGGAATGTGGCTGAATAGGAGACACAAAGACTTAGTCTCCTGGATTTAGATCAGTCTTTGTGCATTTCCTCAGTCTTCCGCTCTCCTGGAGAGCAGAAGGGATTTGGGAGTGAAAAAATTGGAGAACCCCCAAATTCATCCCAGAGATGTTTGGTTGCTGTTGGTTAAAGGCTTTACTTGGATAATGATGAGATGTAGTGGAGCCTTCAGGGCAGGTACAGGAAATGCTTATTTCCAGCTAAGGTGAAGTTGCCCTTAGAGACCCAGGCCCAAGGGTATTAGTTGGCCTGGAAGTAGTAGCTTTATAGCTTAATGACTTGGGTGCCTAGGGCAGAAAAAAAAAAATCTGTTAGAGATGCAAGGCGTTCCAGCAGCGATTGTAGCAAAGGGACCCGCCACTCTGTAAAGGAAAAAAAGTTGAGTGTTTTCTAGGATTGTTGCTGGTCTTGGGTTTGAAACAAGGGTGGCTGCTTTTCTCAAGGGAGCTAGAAAAAAAGAAGCTTCTGCCTTTTGAACTAAAAAAGTATGGCAGAACCCACTCTTTTTGTTAGACACAGTAACCAAGGACTTCAGCTGAAGCCAGAAGCTGCAAAAGGCCCCACAGCCATCTGCTCAGTGCAGCAATGACCCGCAGAGCAGCGTTCATCTGAGGTTGTGTGTGTACTGGAGAGTTCTTGTCTGGGGGAGATCCATAGGGAGGAGGTCCAGTGGGAGCAGGGCAATGACGGCACTAGACAACGTCAACGGCTGCTCTGCTTCGTAGGGGAGAGAGCTGACAGGGGGCCACACAGCACTTAGTCCATAGCGAAGTCAGTCCAGACAGTTGATCAGTCGGTCAATAAGCATTTATTAACCGCTCACTATGTGCCAGGCACGGTGCTTAGCACTGGGCATTTCTCTCCAGTTTATCCTGTATATATAGCTTGCTTGTACAAAGCTGTTTGCATGTTGTCTCCCCATTAGATTAGGAGCTCCTTGAGGGCAGGGACTGTCATTGCCTTTTTCTGTATTCCTTGCTCCTGGCGCATAGTAGGTGTTTACTAGATGCTTGTTTTTTTAACTAAGACCTGCAAAATACTTGTTGCACTGAAGCAGACAGACGGGAAGGATCGCATGTGTCATTTGCCCCCTTGATTTGAAAAGACAGGGTGAGGAGGCTGCAAAGGGGAAGACGGGAGTGGGGGGCGAGACCCCCTTTGTGGAGTCTCTTCTGTGTGATGGGCCATCTGTTCTACCGGGGCAAGGACCAGCGAGACCCTGGCGCCCCTTCCCGAAGCTGCTTGGAGCTGTGGGGGTTTTGTTGCTTTGGGTTGTTTTTAAGCGGGAAGGTGAGCTGGGAGCAGGTCTGGTTCCTGTCGCTTGCGCTGGAGACACGATTCTGGGGACCCTGGGAGACTGGCGGAGGGACGACTAGAAGGGAGGCGCTAGCTCTTGTCAAGGGGGCAGGCGGGGAAGTGGGGGGGGGGGGGCGGGACGTGGCTCTTGGTTGCACCGGCTCCGGTTCCCCGCAGGGGGCAGGGTATTGATGTGGGAGGGCAGGAGATGACAGGAGGCGGAGGCTCCAGTCCTCCGCCAGGGGGCGGTGTGGGGCCGCCGCGGGCGGGATCACGTGAAGGCAGGGAGGGTGGGGGCAGGACGGGGCGGGGCGGTGCTGGGGGCGGAGCCTCAGCGCCGGGGGAGCCGACCGAGAGCCGGAGCTGGGCTCAGACAGAAGGACCCGGGGCCAAGGCAGCGGCGGCTTTCGAGGCGGAGCTCCGCTGCGCTCTCCGTCCTCGGGCCTCGGCTCCGGCTCCGCAGCCGCCGCCCTGGCGACCCCGGCTGAAGAGGGCGCCCCGGCTGGGCCGGGCTCGCCGCCGTGCTCTCCGCCCCTCGGGCCCGGGGCGGGCATGGAGCTCTTCCAAGCCAAGGATCACTACATCCTGCAGCAGGGCGAGCGCGCGCTCTGGTGCAGCCGCCGGGACGGGCGCCTGCAGCTGCGACCCGGTGAGCGAGGACCCCCCGCCCGGCCCGGGCGGGGCGGGGCGGCCCGGGGGCTGACTTTCCCCTCCCGCGGGCTGGCAGGGGGGCGGAGGGCGAAGTGGGGGCGGGGCAGGCGCCCCCTGCCCGCTCCTGCCCGCTTGCGGGGACCTGAAAGGGGGGGCGCGCAGGGCTGGGCGGTTGGCTGGGGGTCCGCAGCCTCTGGGCTCTTGGCGGGGCGATCGGCTAGTATCCCCTGGCACGAGGTGAAAGGTCATTGTCTCTTAAATGACCGCGTAGTGGCGGTGATGACCCGCGGCCAGGTTTGGGGGTTTGGAAGAGGGATGCTGTTTCTTGGGAGCAAGGTCCTTGGAATTACAATTTGTGAAATAAAGGTTCCGGGAGGGAAAAGGATGGTCAAGGTGTAGTTTCTTTTTTTCTTTTTTAACCCTTTCCTCCCTGCTTTCTTCAAACCCATTTCACTCCTCACACGAAGACTTGGCATAGTGTCCTTGAAAAGAGGAAGTTCGGGTTGTGCCTCTTAATGAATCAATTGGTCAGATACCTAGCTTTCCTTTATTACTGAGGAAGGGGTTTGTTACCCTTCTCCCCTCCAAATTTACATATTAAGATCCGAGATCTGTTTCTTAGAAAACACCCACCACAAACAACCTCTATCGCAAAGCAGGTTACCAAATCTCTTTGTCACAACAATTAAAATTCATTAGTATACACCCACAAGAATCATATGATGAACTGGAGGTGGCAATCTTGAAAGATGGTATCTTTCAAGGGTGGGCCTAACCCTGTGTGACTCTTCTGTTTGGGAATCAGTATTTTGGGGTGATAAAATGAAAGGTTTTTGTTTGCTTGCTTTTAAAGGTGCCTTCTTTTCTGGAATCTTAGGCAAATAGCCAAAATTGAAAGGTCCAAATTTAGATGTTCTGTCTTCCACTTGTAACGTCAGGCAAGAAATGATCATGTCTGTCCATCTGCCTATTCCTGGCAGCGCTGGCAGGAAGTCAACCCTGTTGACATCAATTTTAGTTTCTCTTCCCCAACTTTAAAGGTGTGACTTATTGTGATTACTGCTGTTTCCTGATGCTTTGTCACTTTTGTGTTTTAATTTAAAAGCACTTTTTCTTATGTAATGATTATACTGAACATTCCAATATATTTTAATTATAGCATTTTATATGACTACTCTATTGCTGTTTGTGGGTGTCCACAAAGTATTATAAAATGACATTGTTTAGGGATCAGCCTTGTTAAAGCTGTAGTTATTTTGTTTAGTAGAAAAGATTCCTGAATCGTGTCCTGAATCATCATTATTTTAGTTTTCATTTTGAGAAGTTCAAGATTAAAAAATATCCACAATGAAGTAAACTATAGTCATTTTATTCCTAGGTTATTTGGCTAATATGTTTATCTTTTCCTAATATTATTGCATTAATATTTACTCTAACAGTAAACTAAAATGTAATTTTTAAAAAAATGGTCAGCCTGTAGTAATTTTGTTTCTTATACTTTGATCCTATAGATTTTTAAAAACAGCTTTCCACAATATAACTTTTCAGTTTTCTAAGATTGGTACATAAGTAGGATTTGTTTTAAATTGCTAGCAAAGTTCATGATGTATATATCTGAAAATAATGTGGACTTAGTACCAAATATTACTTGCTTTGTTTTTTGATGATCAGGCAACCCTAGGAAATAGCCTGATATAGTTGTAAGAATGCTGAATTAGTAGAAGTCACAAAACCTTTGTTTTATTTTCAGTCTTTTTATTCATTGACTAGCAGTGTAGTCTCAGACAAATCATTTAATTTCTCTAGGTCTAATTTCAGTCATTCCATAAAATGAGGATATTCTCCTATGTGATTTCTAAAGTCTCTTCCAGTTCTAATGATTGCCTCTAGGTATTAATTCAGGGGTTCTCACCTCACGTAGAACATTAACCTAGATCAAAGACTGACCTTGTTGAAAAGGTCCAGAAGGCCCTTTCTTATGTCCCCAGGGTCCTTTCTGAGATTTAACTTTCATCATGATTTTTTTTTTTCTCTTATTAACTGCAGTTGAACAAACATCTGTTAAGTACCTGCTATGTGCAAAATACTTTGTTAGGTACTAGAGAAACAAAGAGAAAGTCTCATTGGGAAAGTCTCTACCTTCACAGACATTTTATTCTGCTTGGAAGATATATTCAACAACACATAAATATAGGTTAATGTGAGGAAAAAATTGTTAAGTGGAGAAATGGGGAAGGTTTTCATAAGGAATTTATGTTTTGAGGAACAATTAGAATTGAAAAGAAAGTGAGGTGGGAGTGCATTCTAGGCTTCAGTTCAGATAAGAAATTAGGGTTGAATATATAGATTAGGAATCATCTGCATAGAGATAATTTAGTCCATGGGAACTTCTTAAGAGTTGGAAGATGACCCAGGAGAGAGACTTGAGGAACAACTGTGCTTAGAGGACAGAAGATGGGTAAAAAACCTGCAAAAGAGACTGAAAAGGAGTAATGAGGTAGGAAGAACCAGGACAGAATAGTGTTAATGAAGCCAGGGTAGGAAGAACCAGAACACAACAGTGTTATTAATAAAGCCAAGGGGAAAGGACTACGAAGACAGAGGAGATGATCAACAGTTTTAAAATTTGCAGAGCAGTAGTTCAAGGAAGATGGAGAACTGAGAAAAACTGTTAAATTTAGCAATTAAGAGATTGGAAGCCTCAGAGGGCTTTCAGTAGAGTGGAGTTAGAAGTCAGAATGCAATAAATTGAGAAGTGAGTAAATTGAAAAGTGAATGTAGTCAATGAAGATGATTCTAGGAGCCTAGCAATCACTCACCAAGCACATAAGCACTTACTATGGGCTATGTGCTAGGCACTGGGGTTAGGAAGACAAATATGAAACATTCCCTGTTTTTAAAGAACCTACACATGTGTGTGTCTACAGAATAAATACAAAATAAATATGAGGTGGCATATGGAGAGAGGGCAGTGGCAGTTGGAAAGTTAGGAAAGGCTTTGTGTAGAAGGTGAGTGCTTGAGCTGAGTCTAGAGAGAAGTAAAGAATCCTAAAGAGGTGGAGGTGAGGAGAGTCCATTTCAGGATTTCTGAGCACAGCCTTCACAAAGGCCTGGAGACAAGAGATGTGATGTCCTATGTGGAGAGCAGCCAAGAAGACTTGTTTGACTGGACTGTTGAGTGTAGAAAGGGGAGTAAGGTATGTATAATGAGCCTGGAAAGGTGGGTTCCATCAGATTGTTAAGGGTTTTAAAAAAACAAATCAGTCAACAAGTATTAAGTGCCAGTTACGTGACAGGCATTGTTTCAAACAGAAAAGGTCATATTTTATCCTAGAGGCAATAGGGAAACACTGGAGTCAGACATGCTCTTAAAGAAAATCACTTTGGCAACTAAGTGAAGGATGGACTGGTGTGGCGAGAGATTTGAGGCAGTGAAAAAGAAGAGAGAGGATATTAATTTTAGGGTTTGATGGAGTCAAGTAAACGGTTTTTTAAAAGTTTTTTCTGAAGTCTGATGTCCATAAAATTCTGTTTTATGTGTTGTTTTTGATAATGATGGGATCATTGAAGTTATTTCTGTTGTATCATTTGAGGAATTTTGTATGACTTGACACATCCATGAGAGATTCTTTGGTAGAGGAGATGCTTTAAGATGGCATTTGTAGTCACCAAACATTTATTAGTAGTGGGATCTTATATTTTCAGTCAATTGAATGACTAACGATGTAATCTATTGTAGCTTATCATTTGTGAAAGTCTGCCTGTTTTCTTCTCTTGTTAGCTGAGAATGTCCTCAATGTTGTGAATAGATAATTCTCTTAAAAGATTTTGTAGAGATGGAAAAATAGGCATATATGTTGATAGTTATTGATTTTTTTTGTTAATAATAGTTATTGCTTATTTGTTTCGGTCATGTCCAACTCTTTGTGATCCTATTTGGGGTTTTCTTGGCAAAGATACTGGAGTGGTTTGCCATTTCCTTCTCCTGCTCATTTTACAGATGAGAAAACTGAAACAAATGGGGTTAAGTGACTTGCCCAGGGTCAAGCAGCTGGTGAGGTCATATTTGAACTCACAAAGATGAGTCTTCCTGATTTTAGGCTGGCTATCCACTGCACCATTTATATACCTGTGAAGGCTCTCCCCCTCCCCCTTTAGTACTTAGGTCTGACTTTTTCCATGAGTTTTGTAGTCTCCTTTCTTTAGATATCTTGAACTAATCCTTCAACACATTCCAAACTTTTACCTCCAGGATGGGCTTCCTTTGTGTATACTTGATTTGGGCAAATTCCTCTTCTCATCTTTGTTTTCTTTAATGCTGTTTCTACTTCATAGACTACACCAGAAACTTTAATTTTAGAGTAACATTATGGTGGTTCTCTGCCTTGATAGAGAAAAGAGCGTCAGAAATCTTTATAGATCTTTTCTATTTTTCATCCTGTGTCTTCCTTTTTAGTCACTTCCTTAGATGTCATTGGGTTGATTTGGCTTATTCGGAAATCTCACTTGATTTGTTTAAACTTGTTTTTCACTGTTTTGAGATAGTATGATTTCTTAGTCTTTCCTTCTTTTCCTCCATGACATTACACATTTCAAAAATCTTATCTTTTGTTTTTATGTCATCTTCATTTCTCCATAAGATTTTATAGTGTTGCTCTTGGCTGTCATATTTCTTTACTTGGCAAGGAGATCGTTTGCTGGCAAATAATTTATCTTGTTAAAATTCCTTAGGAAATGGTGATAGTCTGTGTTGGTGTCTGTTCTCTTGTATTTTTCCATCATTAGCCTGTGTTCAGTAAGTCAGATTATATTTACTTATAGTGCTAATGTTTCTCTTTGTCGTGAAGCATACTCAGGACAGTGTTCAAATTAAGGTGGGATTGCATATAGATAATGAAGTGCTCCAGATGAATCCAGTATAATGTTACCTCAAAACAGAATCATCAAGCCTAGAACCTCCAGAACCTTTTAAATATAACCTATAATCACTCAAAGGTA